CCCAAAGTTGATCTATATTAAGTTGATCTCTATATTGCTTTGTATGTTGAGTCTTCAGTTCTTGTTAGTTTTTGGTTACTGAAGATTTTGTGGAGTTTGTTTTCAGTTAGTTTCCTTTCAGTTAGTGATTCCCTTGTTTAATTGTGTCTTACTTCCTGTTTTATTTTGATATCTGCTGGTCTTTTGTGTCTTGTGTCCATTTTTACTTCCTTCCTGTCATTTTCCAAGTAAACTTCAGCTGTGTCTTTTTACTCCAGGTGTTTCCAGGGGATTATGGTTTGTGATCCCAAATTACATCTTGTGTACATGTAGTTTCAGTCTCCTCTTCAGCCACAGTGTGGTTTATGCTTCTATTTGCAGACTTTGTGTTATGTAATTTGGTTTCCTGCCAAATAAAGGTTGGTTTTAGTTTGTTCTTGCCTGTCTGTGAGTCCTGTGTTTGGGTGCTATTTCTGCAAACCTCGACACACTGATCATCTGCCAGATAGAGAGGAAGAACTGTCATAAGTTTGAAAGTGGCTTGAGTTTATACCTTCCTCAGAAATGTAAAAAAAAAGAATATATTTTGGACATAAATGATTATCTGTAGCTTATGTAGTTTAGTCATAACATAAGAAATCTAAAGTGTTGGTCTTGCAACAATATTAAATTTTACAATTAAATAAGAATGGTCTCATATTCTCAGTGTGTTCTTCCTGAGGTCATGTTTTGTTTTTAGCAGTTTTACAAGAAGCACTTTTTACTGTTTTTTTCCTATCTAGCAGGAAGACAAAATCTCTAAAGATTCATTCTCAGAAAATTGAAGTCAGTAACTATCATCAGTGAAGCAGATGTCTGAGGTCTTAGCGGGCCCCGTCTCTAGAGATGAGAGGAAGATCTACTCTGCCGACCACTCAGACCAGTCCACCTCCCTGGATTTATTTCATAAGAGGCAAAGGAAGTGAAAACAAAAGGGAGATGCCTTCAAAAAGCAAAAACATAGGACGAAAAAAAGAAATTAGCCAGGCAGGATAAAAAGCACAGAGCATCCTTAGAGGGAATCCAATGAAAAATCAGGTGGACTTTAAGGATCTTGTGCTTCTGATAAATTAAGCAGAAAAGAAGATGGGGGGTGGGGGGCATCACTAGGAATGCAAAACTGGGTGGATGAATTGATGCATTGATGCATGACCACTACATGGTGCCATGGTTGTTACTGTTGTCTCACAGCAGAGATGATCTGAGTTCAAATCCCCTCGTTAGCTGGCGTCTTTCTGTGTGGAGTTTACTGAGTTTACATGCTCTCCCTGCACCTATGTGGTTTCCTCCAACTACCTTTCATAGTTTAATTACAGAATCTAAACTGGCCATAGGTACGGATGTAGTGTAGAATCAATATAGATGTGAAATCAAGGTCTTGTTGTGTAGAGCAATCAATGCAAATCCATTCAATAATAAAAGATCACTGAAACAGATGAGCAGGAGGAGGCCGCCAGTTTTACAGAAGTAAGATCATCTCGACAACAAACTTTCTCACCTTATTTCTCATACCACCATTCTTGTTTTTTTTTAAACTCACTCTTCAACTTTCAGCCAATATGAGCAGGACTGCAACTAAAGAACATTTTCTCAGTTAACTTAGTCATCATCTTTCAGTCATCAGAATCATCTCATCATCTCATCTTCATCAAGACTGGATCATTTAGCTGAAATCGGCTCTGTTTTTTCACCAATGCCTTCCCACCAGTGCTCCTTTAAAGCGCTTCTGTTTTCACAACAGACGAATTCTTTTTTACCCTGAACTCACACTGCACCAACGCTATCTGTGCCCACCTGCTGCCTTTTGGACTGGTTTGGATATTTAAATATTCTCGTCTCTGTTAGACTCTCCAGACTCCCACTGCTTTCTGGACTTCTAATTTTCTTCCAACTTTCTTTAACTTTTGTAGCAATATTTTCACATTTGCTTTTTTTTTTCTCTTTTGAGTTACTCTCATCTCATTGTGCAATCCCCTCACTTTTTCATGTGCTACTTTCTAAACTACTTTTTAATTAAGTAATCATCAGCAGTGATTTTTTTTTTCAGATCCTTTATAGCAATAGCAGAATTAGCATGAAAATGTAAAAAATGTCCCAAAAACACAGTGTATCCACAATAGCTAATTATATGGTAGCAACTAAATGCATTTAGCGATGTAGACATGATCAAGATGACCTGCTGAACTTTAACTCCTCCAAAAAGAGAAACTTTCAAGTGACTGACTGGTCTCTGTCTCTGAACGCACCATTCCACATAAATCAAATCAAACTCAAACTGCTTCTCTGAGCATGACAGTAAGTTCGCTTTACTCAGATGGCCTCCACAGCAACCACATCTCAGTTCAATAGAGCATGTTTGGGATTTGGTTGAAAGGGACAGTTTGCATCATTGATGTGAAACAGAAAAATCTGCATCAACTGTGAGGTGTTAGCATCTCATTATAGACTAAAATTTTAGCAACTTTTTGAATCTATGCTGCAAAGAATGATTTCGTTCTGAAGACAAAAGTGGTACCTGGTAAAATCAATGAGCTGTAAATGGGCCTTTGCTCAGTATCTGTTTTTTAGGAACTAGACAGAGAAGAACAGGACATACAATGAAGAGGAAAAAGTAAAAATAAAGGGAAAAAAGAAAAAACATGCATATGACATTTTAAAGTTTTTATTAATGTAATGATGTGTTCAGATATTATTATTTCTATCAGTAGTTTTCCTTATCTGCCATACTGGAATCGACAAATAAATTTTTTTACCCATACGTTATCTTCTTGAAAACTGTAAAGTGTGATTTTCTTTCTTTTTGCAAATTTGCAGAAAAACATCAAGGGTGTGACCTCAGTGGAATTCATACAGACTTCTTCTTTTTCCTCTGTTAAATGCCACAGGCATTGCCCCAGTTGGAAAAAAGAAGGGGGGATGGGGGTGCTGTACCGTTTCTCTTCATTATATTATATTATATTATTACAGTCTATAGTTTAGCCGTTTATCCTGTGTTGGAGTGATAGACACACTGCAGCTCTCGGCACATGGTATAACCAAGCTTTTTAACATCCTGAAGAGCACACAAGGACACGCAAGGTCTGAGAGCAGAGGATGATAATGTATTGGTTAATGGATGTATCATTGCTAGATGTACATACATTTTCCACTTGTAATGATATACTGAGACCTCTGACACCCAAGCAGAAAGGAAAATGTTCATCAGAAATGGAGGCTGCTAGAAACTCTCTGTCAGCACAAGCTCTTTGGAGAACATTAATGCCTGCAATAGCCCACAGAGTACCATCAAACAAAGTGACCTGTGGGAAATATTAGCATTATGGCCCTGCTGAGTGTAGCCTCAGCAATCATAACCCAGAACAGATCACAGCCTTATTTGTCCAGAGACAGGACACAGCAGGGGTTCAAGCTGAGTGCCCTATCATGGCTCATTCACCAAAAAAGACTCGAGAAAAATGTGGAGACCAAACTGGCAGGATCCCACAGAGCGTGGAGCATTGTGTGGATTAAGAACATCATAAGAGGAGACATTTGGGCTGGAAGCAGTATAACCAGAAACCTTGGGCACAGACTAAATCTATGAAAAACTAAAAGCTTTTTAACAAGTAAGTTTGGTTGGCTGTGTGTCTTGTTTTTTTCTGAAATAATCGAGCCAAGGGGGGAATAAAAATCCTTTTGCAATTTGCTATGCTGGCTGCTGAGAGAGCGAGAGAGAGATCAAGGACACTGAACAAAGAGGCAGAGAAGTAAGCAGGGAGAAAAGACGTTCTTGTGTTCCACTTGCAGTGAGACAGCAACCTGTTCAGCACTTTGTAGCTTGCAGTCACTTGCTACTCGGTTAGACTGTAGAGTTATACCATCAAAGAGTTTGCTGGGGCTGCTTAAAAACGACTCTCTATGGCAGGTATCAAAGCTTACAGCGCTAATTAGCTCTCAATGTGTAGTTATTTGCTGCAGGAGGCAAAACTTACATAAACTTCTTGGATTTACATTTTTTATCACTCATATTGAGGTTAATTGCTCATTTCATTGGCTTTTAAAGTCAAATTTACATGCAAAACCCCAGGGTGAGGAAAAAAGGTTGGATTTGTACACTAGCTCACATGTAAACATGCTCACGTGTAGTGAAATGCATGTTCGGTTCTTTTCTTTTGTTAAAAAAAAAATCCTATCTAGTAGGTAACAGTATACGGAGCTTGACATTTGCTCATACTTTCACGGAGGTTTTATATATCCAGTATTGTTCCTTCAGCTTCTCATAGTGTGTATTCATTATGTCCACACAAAGAAGTAGATACACAGCTACACATGTGAAAAGAAATTAGGTCTGGGCATGAGGGAGAAATCCAAATTCAAAGTAAGAAAGAAGGAGCACAGTTCATCAGTGATACAAACACAATGCTTTATCTCACACAGCAGGTGTGTGGATTACCTTTTAATTGGATCTTGGTGTGAGACTGGAAAAGGCAAAGGCCTATTGTAGTCGCTGCTGAAAGGGGGATGACAAAGCAAGAAAAGGACAGGGAATGAGCAGAGGAAGGGAAGTGAGTTACAATCTTGCATGCTTTTGGGAACACACACCCAATCACCACAGGAAGAGTGTGTTAAATGCAACCGGCACACTTTTATATAGACCTAAACACATTCAGGTATATAAGCATGAGCACAGGGCTAGCGGTTCTTCCGCTTGTCCTATTAAGTCACAATATAGGATATTAGCTATATCACTGTATCAGTTGGAAAGGATGTGCCTTTGTCCCCTCTTATCCACTAGAGTTAAATGATGTTGCACCTAACCCCACGGAAGTGGGAGCCCAATATCTGCCATTTGCAAAACTATACTTTCACATCTCTATTGGTGTCTACTTAAAGCCAGGTGCAGTTCACCTCACCTTTACATCACTATCATCATACTATCAGAGCTCCTCCAGACCTCCGGGGTCAAAGCAGAGCACACAGAACAGCACATGTGAGAGAGGCAGATGACCTCTTCCTGCAGCTCGTCCACCTTCACCTCCTCCATGAGCTCCACCAAGTATCCTAAGGTGGCTCAGGGCTTGGCAAGGAGCGCAGAGGGTAGGGATCTTGCATGCAAGGAGATCCTCCTTCATTCTGGCATTCTTAGCGCTAAATCTTTGGTATTATGAGACAGGCAAGGAAGGACTATCTAAAAGAGCTGTCTTTGCTATAAGCAAAAGCAGCATAATTAACTAACATCAATGATTAGCTTCAACAACCATGTCAAATCCCCTAATGTAGAGCGCAAAAATAAAGTTTATTACCTACTGCAGACTTCTCAGCACTTAGTCAGGCCTCCGTTCTTTTTTCTCTTCTCCTTTCAAAAAAAAGGAAAAAGAAACAATTGTGCACTTAGGTTGCCTGTTTGTACAATATTCTGATAGTCTTACTGTGGATGTACTTGACTCACCTTTAGAGCACTCTGGGGTTCAATGTAAGACCTCCGCTGTGGTGGAGTCCTTCAACCAGGTACAAAAATCCCCCCAAATCCCAGAGGGAGAGTCTGTCCCAGATTTTGAAGTGAAGCTACGGCCCATCACTGCCCAAGAGGGTGAGGTGAACCATTCTTTTCATTCCACAGCAGCTTGAAATTTTACAAAATGCCCTTTGCATCTTGCAGAATCTCTCCTCACATTATATTGCAAGCAAGTGCCCTTGAGACTATAAGAAAAGCGTGCACCAGCCAAATTTAGACACTTGCCCATGATTTGCCTGGAAACACTGGATGACACAAACAAAACTCTACTGGGAAACAAAAGTTTCATGTGATGTGAAAACTTTAGGTAAACATTTTTTCTTACTGAGCGAAGGTACTGTGGGCTGCATCTGATAAAAGTCCTAACAAAGACCTCACCAAGGACAGAAATACTGTGATAAAGACTTTATAGTTCTCATCACCTCTATTGAAAAAGCATTTGCTGCTTATGCTGAATACCAGTGCCTTTTTAGCATAAAATCTACGCGTTTTAATCTGATTCACTCTACCTCTACCTGTAAATTATAGATTAAGAGAGCTGCAGAAGCTCGCCCATCACAATATGCAGAATACTGCAGAGTAGCCAGGCTATTATCATTCATGGAATGACCCTACAGCTACTTGTCTCAAAAGGAAAGCAGAAAATGATGATCCTAAATCATTTAATGTTATGGCAACTGTTATAGCAAAATATAAATCTTAACCTGATCTGTCTTTTTGTCATTCACAGGTGACAATGCTGCATTCAAGGCAAATGTGACTGGGAATCCACAGCCCAGTGTGAGCTGGGAGCGAGCTAGTGGGTTCCCACTGTCTGTGGCAACAAAATCTTCCCATGACAACATCGACTAACAGCATATACTGAAGGTTTGACACTGTAAAACTACATGACTTATCCTTGGCCTAATTGAAATTTGATCTACAAAATACTAGTTAGACCTGCCATGATGTATGAAAAAAGGACCGGAGGCAGATCTGGAGGTCGCAGAGGTAAAGATGTTAAGATTTTCATTAAGAGTGACTAGGATGGACAAGATAAGAAATGAATACATCAGAGGTTCAGCTCAGGCTGAATGGTTTGGAGACAAAGTTAGAGAAGTGTGTCTGAGATGGTTTGGACATGAGCGGAGGAGGGATTGTGATATATTTGACCAGGATGTTACCAGGCAGGAGGAAAAGAGGAAGATCGCAGAGAAGATTCGTGGATGTAGTGAAGAGGGACATGCAGACTGTTGGTGTGACAGAGGAGAATGCCCTAGAGATAGGATAAGATGGAGGCAGATGATGGGCTGTGACAACTCCTAAAGTGAGCAGCTGAAAGTAGAAGAAGAAGAAGATTAAATTTCCCCCTTTTTATGTGATATTTTAAAACATTAAGGGATTTTGTTCACTGTCATTGTGTTGCTGCTGACTAATGTTAAGCTTGTGTTATATCTGATGAGCATCCCTGTTTAATTTTAGTCATCTAACACTATACATGTAAGTAGTATTTACTGTAGCTTTGCATGTACTTGTGTACTCTGTTTTCTCAAGTTTTTCACTGAATGTTACTCTATTGACAAATAAATCATGCCATTATTTTTTTTAAGTTAAGACTGTAATTTCAGCATCATTATCTGGAAGTGTGAATTCAGGGTTTAGGGTATCTAGTAAAAATGTGTTGCTTTAAAAGGTGAAATACTCTTTCTGGGCATGGTATCTCTGTACAGCCTATCATTTAGCTGAACAGCTCCCCGTTTTGGTGCTGTCAAGTGAGATGACACACCATGCATCATGAGGAAAAGTAGATAGGACGGGGAAAAAAACTCTCACTGAACCTTTTATCTATAACCACTCCACAGTGGATTTAGTGCTTTCTCTGTACCAGCCGGGGAGCTTAACTGAAGCTTAAATAGCTATTATAAAGCAATTAACTTGTGGGTGCTGACATATGCATCTCCCCTTGCCATCTGTTTCTCTGGTAAGGGATGACTGTTAAGTTCCAATACTGTGTGTTGAGGAGTTATTCCTATCATGCCACTGCCTTCTACTGCTTAAAATGAGTACTGCAGTGGGATAAAAATGACCTGAATGACAGTGTGACAGTTTGAAACGTCTCACTGTAACTAGACACGTTGCTTTTTCCTTCATTAGTCATTTACCTAATGTCTAATACCTTCTCTCCAAATTAGATCAAAAATCTGACCTTGGAGGATGCCGATGTCTACAAGTGCACTGCCTCCAACAAGCACAGAGATGCTGCCTTCTCCATATCACTCAGTGTTACAGAAAGTAAGCCAGCCATATCGTACAGCATGGGTTGTTTGGAAGCCATCAGCACAGTTTGCCTCCAGTTTTCTCCTAGTGCCACAGGTGAAAGTTGCTTTCTCTTTGTTTCCAGAACCACCAATGGACTTCAAAAAGATGCTGGAGAAGCAGCAGGAGCACACGCATGTTGTCTAATACTAGCTGTGACACTCCTAGAACCTGTCAAGGTGTGATGGAGCACTCTCTGATCAATTGCCAGATATATGTTTTTGCATGTATCCAGAAATACCCACAGGACAAGATCTAAAGAGTTTCTGGTGGGACTGAGGAAGATTCTTTTCAGCTACTATCGCACATATTCCTATTCTATGTCATGCATGCAAACAAGCATAGTATATACCTGTATAACTGCTTCCTGTGTAACATATTTCTTCTTTTGCAGAGGTATGGAGAAGAGAAGAAGAAGCCACCTACAGAGGAGGAGATGTTAAAGATCCTGGCTGGAGCTGACAAGAAGGACTGGGGGGGATCTGTGCCAAGTATGGCTTCAGCAACATCAGAGGCATTCTCAAGAAGTTCAAGGAGATGAAGAAGAAAGTGGAGGTGGAGGTAGACCTGTGATGCAGAGAGCTTGCACACATGACACAGGATCAAATAAAGATGAACAGGTTTGGGATATGATATTTTAAAAAAAAACAGCTTAAAATAGAGCAAGGGAGAACTGAGAAAAGTTTACACAACTTGGCGACAAAGTTAAGTTAGTAAAGCAAAAGTCAGCTGATGTGAAGATGGGAAATAATTCAAAATGTCATTATTTAAGTATTTCTACATTTGATATGTTTTACAAGATGGTGCGTGTCTTGAAGCCCCTGGAAGACATCACTGCCAAAGTTGACATCGTGTTCAACACTGTCTTGGAACTGAAGGATCCAAACATCAGGATCAGTGGTTTTTGGTAAAGCACATCAGTTTTCTGGTTCAGTGTCAAAGTCTTCTTATTTATGAATGTTACCATGACATAAACCACTTGCGATTTCTCCCCTCATCTCAGCGTTGTGCTTGCAATTCAGGGCGCAGAGCTGCAGTGGGTCCAGTACTCTCATGGGAAATATGAAGTGAAACTGATGGGAACTAAGCACATGCTATGCATTTCTATTGCGTGCACCTGAGTGACATGGGCACCTACACTCTGCAGGTTGGAGACAAGAGACTTTCGGCATGTGCAGAGTGGAACTCGGGACTCCTTCTCACTGCTCATAATACAGATTTTATTGTATTTACTGTCCCCATTTACATACTCCTTTTTACATGCTTTCTTTACATTTGTCATTACTTAACACCATGTCATATTTTATCCCCTCCATTCAGTGTCAGTATTTATTTGACCCAGAGATCAGACTTTCTCACTTAGTTCATATTACTCAAAAACCCTCATGTCAACCCCCTCCCCCCCAGATCCATAGCTAGTTGGATTGGAATCCTTGGATATGTTTACTTGACTGATCAATAAAAACCCTTCTTGTCTTCTGCTTTATCTCATTCAAATGAACTGCTTAAAGTCGTGTCTGACTTAAAGCCAAAAAAGAGTAAATGAGCGACAGACTGCTGTGTTTGAGGTCCATCTTTCCAAGAAAACAGATCGACCCCTAATCTGGAAGGTTAGTGTAGTTAGTGTGTAGTTCAGGAAGAGAATCATAGAATTTAATTACACTTTTACACTATCATATGATATCGCATATAGGATGAGACTGAAAATGCTTTTTAAAGATAGTTTCCTGAATTTCTTAACATCTCAGTTACTCTGTCTGTGAAGGTTCTCAGTCATCCAGGTCATCGTAGTCAAAGGAGCTTGCAAAGAAAAGCGTCTGGACTTCTTTAAGTTGCTTGAAGACGTTTCACCTCTCATCCGAGAAGCTTCTTCAGTTCTAAGGTCAAATGGTGGAGAGTCCCAGATATAAACCTAGTGGGAGTATCCCCCCACAGAGGGACAAAAGGACCCCCTGATGATCCTCTAATCGCCTGAGCCAAGGTGGGAAACTGGGCGTGGGTCCCAATCAGCCAGAGTTTCGGGTGTGTTCATTGTGAAACCTGGCCCCACCTTATCATGCGAATTCCTGAGGTCAGATGGCCCAGGATGTGAGTGGGCGTTAAGGCGTCTGGGAAGGATCTCAAAACTGGATTATAGATGGCAGAGAGTTGGTGTCGTAAACCCCCGCCTCTGTTCAAAGATGGTCGCTCACAGTGGACATAGATGGCTTCTTTCACTCCTCTTTCAAACCATCTGTCCTCTCTGTCCAAAATGTGAACATTGGCATCCTCGAAAGAGTGTCCTTTATCCTTAAGATGCAGATGGACTGCTGAGTCTTGTCCTGTGGAGGTGGCTCTTCTGTGTTGTGCCATGCGCTTGTGAAGTGGCTGTTTGGTCTCTCCAATGTAGAGGTCTGAGCATTCCTCGCTGCACTGTACAGCATACACCACATTGTTAAGTTTGTGTTTTGGCGTTTTGTCTTTCGGGTGAACCAGTTTCTGTCTGAGCGTGTTGCTGGGTCTGAAATGCACCGGGATGTCATGCTTGGAGAAAACTCTCCTGAGTGTCTCTGATACACCGGCTACATAGGGGATGACAATGTTGTTGCGTCTGTCCTTCTTATCCTCCCTCGCTGGTGTCTGGTCTTCTTTTCTGTGCCTCTTTGCTGACTTTAAGAACGCCCATTTAGGATAGCCGCACGTTTTGAGTGCTTCCTTTACATGTGTGTGTTCCTTCTTTTTCCCTTCAGGCTTAGAGGGAACATGTTCTGCCCGGTGGTGTAGGGTCCTGATTACTCCAAGTTTGTGTTCCAGAGGGTGATGGGAGTCAAAGAGGAGGTACTGGTCCGTGTGTGTGGGCTTCCGGTAAACTTCGATGTTGAGTTTGCCGTTCTCTTCAATGTGCACAGCGCAGTCCAGGAAAGGCAGACAGTTGTCCTTTGTGTCTTCCCTGGTGAACTTGATGTTCTTATCCACAGCGTTGATGTGCGCAGTGAAGGATTCCACTTCTTGTGTCTTGATTTTGACCCAGGTGTCGTCCACATATCTGTACCAGTGGCTGGGTACTCTTCCTTTGAAAGAGCCAAGAGCCTTCCTTTCCACTTCCTCCATGTAAAGGTTGGCTACAATAGGTGACACGGGGGAGCCCATGGCACAGCCATGTTTTTGTCTGTAAAAGCCTTCGTTGTATTTGAAATATGTAGTGGTGAGGCAGAGGTCTAACAGTGTGCAGATCTGATCGGGTGTGAAGTTGGTCCTGTCCTCCAAGGAGCTGTCTTCTTGTAGTCGTTTTCTTCTCGGATGAGAGGTGAAACGTCTTCAAGCAACTTAAAGAAGTCCAGACGCTTTTCTTTGCAAGCTCCTTTGACTACGATGACCTGGATGACTGAGAACCTTCACAGACATATTGCCGTACATTTTGGGAGGAACACCCTTCAACTGGTGCGGGAGTATGAAAGGGAATCAAGGAAACTAGCGGATTATAGGAACCATCTCCGTTTCAACCTAAGATGTAGACAAAGCAGAGTTGTTCCTAAGAGCCTGCGCCTTGGATCCACTGTCAGGGGATACAGAGCAGACTTGATTCTACAGAGAGCACAAAATCACCTTTTAAGTGAAAGGATAAGACAGGTCCATTTCACCATAGATGCCCTCCAGATCAAGATCAGCCAGACCCTGCAGGAACTGGAAATCCTTCTACCCTGTCCAATCTTAGAAGAGGTTTACAAGTTTGTGGACAAGGCTCAGCGGGCCCAACACTCTAAAGGAAAAGAAAGACAACGCAGGAAATTTCACACCTTGCTTTCAAAAACACACACTCCTCATCCTGAACCTACACAACCCAGAGAAGAAAACACACCTGATGCCAGTCAGGAGAAATGGGTTAAGAACTTTTCAGACAGGATCCTCACTGAACCTGAAAAGAGAGTATTAGCCAAAGGACTCAATTTTGCCATTTCTCCACAACAGTTGCCCATAGTGGACCTCATCACAGCCACAGAATCTGCCATACGGATTAATAAATTATCACAGACAGAAGCAGAGCAAATCAGGATGAAAGTCTCAGCCATGCTCTCCAGTGCCAAAGTCCCTCCATCCAACCTCACAATACAGGAAAAGAAGGCCGTCGCTTCCCTGAGCAAAGACCACAACATCACTGTTTTACCAGCTGATAAGGGAAGATGCACCGTGGTCCTAAACACTACAGATTACCATACAAAGATCACTACTCTCCTCAGTGACAACAATACCTACGAAGCCCTAAAGCGAGACCCCACAAGCAGCTACAAAAAGAAAGTTATAGCTTGCCTTCAAGACTTTGAAAAGGACAAAATTATTGACCGCCTTACATATCACCGCCTTTACCCAGGGGATGCCATACCCTGCATCTATGGACTTCCTAAGATCCACAAGGAAGCTGTCCCACTCAGACCCATAGTCAGTAGCATAAACTCAGCCACTTATAACATTGCAAAACACCTTGCTACCATCCTTGCTCCTCTCGTGGGGAACAACCCACACCACATCAAGAACTCCACCGACTTCACCGACAAGGTCCAGAAACTTACCCTGGATCCAGATGAAACCATGGTGTCCTTTGATGTAGTCTCTCTCTTCACTTGCATACCCACCACGGAGGCCGTGGAGACTGTAGAAAACGACTACAAGAAGACAGCTCCTTGGAGGACAGCTCCTTGGAGGACACCCAATCAGATTTGCACAATGTTAGACCTCTGCCTCACCACTACATATTTCAAATACAACGAAGGCTTTTACAGACAAAAACATGGCTGTGCCATGGGCTCCCCCGTGTCACCTATTGTAGCCAACCTTTACATGGAGGAAGTGGAAAGGAAGGCTCTTGGCTCTTTCAAAGGAAGAGTACCCAGCCACTGGTACAGATATGTGGACGACACCTGGGTCAAAATCAAGACACAAGAAGTGGAATCCTTCACTGCGCACATCAACGCTGTGGATAAGAACATCAAGTTCACCAGGGAAGACACAAAGGACAACTGTCTGCCTTTCCTGGACTGTGCTGTGCACATTGAAGAGAACGGCAAACTCAACATCGAAGTTTACCGGAAGCCCACACACACGGACCAGTACCTCCTCTTTGACTCCCATCACCCTCTGGAACACAAACTTGGAGTAATCAGGACCCTACACCACCGGGCAGAACATGTTCCCTCTAAGCCTGAAGGGAAAAAGAAGGAACACACACATGTAAAGGAAGCACTCAAAACGTGCGGCTATCCTAAATGGGCGTTCTTAAAGTCAGCAAAGAGGCACAGAAAAGAAGACCAGACACCAGCGAGGGAGGATAAGAAGGACAGACGCAACAACATTGTCATCCCCTATGTAGCCGGTGTATCAGAGACACTCAGGAGAGTTTTCTCCAAGCATGACATCCCAGTGTATTTCAGACCCAGCAACACGCTCAGACAGAAACTGGTTCACCCGAAAGACAAAACGCCAAAACACAAACTTAACAATGTGGTGTATGCTGTACAGTGCAGCGAGGAATGCTCAGACCTCTACATTGGAGAGACCAAACAGCCACTTCACAAGCGCATGGCACAACACAGAAGAGCCACCTCCACAGGACAAGACTCAGCAGTCCATCTGCATCTTAAGGATAAAGGACACTCTTTCGAGGATGCCAATGTTCACATTTTGGACAGAGAGGACAGATGGTTTGAAAGAGGAGTGAAAGAAGGCATCTATGTCCACTGTGAGTGACCATCTTTGAACAGAGGCGGGGGTTTACGACACCAACTCTCTGCCATCTACAATCCAGTTTTGAGATCCCTTCCCAGACGCCTTAACGTCCACTCACATCCTGGGCCATCTGACCTCAGGAATTCGCATGATAAGGTGGGGCCAGGTTTCACAATGAACACACCCGAAACTCTGGCTGATTGGGACCCACGCCCAGTTTCCCACCTTGGCTCAGGGAATTAGAGGATCATCAGGGGGTCCTTTTGTCCCTCTGTGGGGGGGTCACTCCCACTAGGTTTATATCTGGGACTCTCCACCATTTGACCTTAGAACTGAAGAAGCTTCTCGGATGAGAGGTGAAACGTCTTCAAGCAACTTAAAGAAGTCCAGACGCTTTTCTTTGCAAGCTCCTTTGACTATCTCAGTTACTCCAAAAAAAAGGAACCCACAGATACAGTATACTGCCATTGTTTGAGGAAATATAAAACACTGGAACATAATGTGGAAATAGTTTTCCCAGAAGTGTTTTTTGTTTTTGCAGGTAAAGGAAAAGGAGAGGGAAAGAGATGAAAAGTCTGATGTCTCTCTGTATGAGGATGACCTCACCTACACCTTAAAGATTAAGGATATGAAAGCCATTGACACTGGAAACTAAACAATCAGCACTGGAGACCTCACTGCCACCTTGCTGCTTTTTATTTGCCAACACGAAGAAAAAAAACTAGTTTGTCTTGTTTTTGTTGTTTTGTTTTTCCCAACAGAGCTGTCTTGTTGGAGCTAATATTTCTAGGGAAACAAACCTTCACAGTTGAGATATGAGCTGCCACTGCCTTGTTTTCCTCCCCTGAGATTAGAAGCTTCGCTCCTTTGTAGCTATGCAAAACAACATCATCTTCCCTGTTTTTCAAATGAAGATGTATGGGGAGTGCAATAAATCCTCCCTCCTAGTGCTCAGTTGAAAGTAATCCAACCAAATCCCTGCTCACAACAAGCTCATTTATTACAGCTCTGCCTAACAAGACATTTACTTGCCCAAGGTGCAAGTTGGGGCATGTAAATATCTTTACAAGGACACGTGGCTGTCCTCTGGGTTTGGACCAAGAGAAGCATAGCAATTGAGGTTGTGTTAATTATAGTTATTCATGAATATGAGTACGCTCTATCTTTTTTTTTCTGGGACTGAATATAAAGAACAAGCCTAATAAGTGCAAGAGCATTTAAATTCTGTTCATACTTTCACCTTGTAATCATCAGTGTCTGTGCTTCTACTTCTAAAATTACTAAAACTTTGTAAGTGTAGTATGCTAATAAAGTCCACATTAGCGCTAAAGTGCCTCTCTTATTTTCATTCTTCCTCTGTTTTAATTCTATATAGGCATTCCCATCAAGTTTACCAGAATGTCTGTGTGCATGAGAGAAGCACAGCCCGCCTGGAGTGTGAGATGAGCTCCAAGGACGTGCACATTCACTGGCTGAAGGATGGGCGTGATATCACAGCAAGCGGGCGCTACATCTTCATGCGTGAGGGGAAAAGGGCTGAGGTTATTATAGAAGAGTGTCAGCTGGCTGATGAGGGAGAGTACTCTGTTGTCTGCACTCAGGACAACGATGCACACGAATATGTCAAGTCTGCTAAAGTCACTGTGGCTGGTAAGAATTCTGCTCTATAGAGAAAAAGAACCCTTAAATTTTCTTGGACTATAAGGTGAAAGTGCATGTGTTCCTCCACTGATCAAACAATGCAGTAAACTGCAGTTACAGCAACAGAGAAATAGAAAAATAGCACAGTGCTGTTCAGAACAAAACAGAGTGTCAGTGCCAAAAAAGATGCTTTGTGGAAACAAAACACAGGCCTATTGTGTGTATTATTATAGTACTGCACAGCCACAGAGTAGTGGTGAGAGTAAGTGCTCCAACTGTTGAACTGTTAGCCACAGATTCCTATCAGGCAAGCACCCAGTGCTCTCCCTTGCAACACTGCAGTAGAAAGACTTGCGAGTATGGCGATCTATCTTCTTCACTCTTGTGTAACTTCCCATATTCTTTTGTCTCTCCCTTGTTGCACTCCCACACATCCTTCCTCCTCTTTCAGGCTGTTACCCCTGCAGAATTTTTATCTGAGCAGACTCCACCATGTTCACAAATTGCTTACTGCTCTCAAGTTCTGTAAGTATGTTTTACAATAGTCATGCTCGTGACTTCCACCTTTCAGCTTCTGACAATAAGATGGATCATTTTGGATGTAAAATACTACTAGCATATTTTAGAGAGTAAAATGGATGTTTCTTTTGCAGATTTCAGCTAACGTTTTTGAATCAGCCAAAGCCAAGGCAATGGAAAAAACTGTAAAAATCTAACAACACAGCATAACTGATTAATAATTAATTCTATGAATGTTAATTCTCTCTAAGTTCTTTTTCTCTGTGTGTTGCCAGAGTGTTTTGCCTCACTGAAGAGTGGTATGTCAGATGTTCAGTGTTCGACAGGGTCCCCTGCAGAGCCGAGTGTTGTTCTTGCTGATGAGAAGGTGGATGGAGTATGGCTGAAGGATGGGGTGGAGGTAAGAGATAACGCAGAACTGGATAAAAGACTTGTTAGCTGTTAATCCTGAAATGTAAATTTGGCAATTTTTTTTTGCCTTTTTCATCCATCCTTTTATGTTAAATTCAACAGTTTTCGAAGCTGAATGGAGTTCAGGTGGTAAAACAGGGAGCTGTGCACAAACTAATTTTCTCTGGTGTGAATGAGTCCCATGAGAGCAAGTACACATTCAGAGCTAAAGGGGCTGAAAGTGAGGCTGTGCCCAGTATTGCAGGTTAGTGCAGTGGTTCCCAAACTGTTTTGCTAGGTCCCCCTTTGTTTTACAAGAAAAATCCTCGCTCCCCCCCGAAACCCCCACGCACAAACACATCCTCCAAACACACACGCCCATGTTTTTTTTCCAAACTCCATTGTGGTTTATTTCTATGGGGAACAGCTGGGACAAATCAGACCTAATGAGACAAGGGGAAGCAAAACTAGGCACACTGCACAGGGACTTTCACAATAAAACAGGAAACAAGATTCTTTATTTGTCACATGCATAGTTATACAAGTACAATACTCAGTGAAATGTATCTAAACTTACAGCATCTGGTATTACAAAGGCAAATCAGATCCTAAGCTTACCTGGTATGAGGATGGTGTGAAGGTTATGGAGGATGAGAGGACCAAGGTGGAGCAGACAGATAATAGCACCTCATTGGTGCTTAGCAGGTGGATTAAAATAAAGGGTGTCATGCTGTATCATATGCAGATACAGTTGTTTTTTTATTTACTTTGGATGTTTACTTGATGCGTGAGAGAAGATTAGTGGCGCATTTATGCGTTGTCTCAAGAGCGACTGTGGTGCTGCTGTTACTGACGTGCAACTCATTGTGATTGGTGGATGAAATCACACAATCATATTAATTTAAAGCACTTTTTGAAATGGAGGTTTGTATTTAACTAACACATCGCTTTCTTTAGACCGCCCAAAGCCTCCTCAAGGGAAAGTTGAGTTTCTTGAGCCGTAAGAGAAGTGTATCAAGATGAAATGGAAGGCTCGAAGTGACAACGGGGGTAAGCAGGTCACCAGTTTTGTGATCGATCGCTGTATGGTAGGCAAGAGGTCCTGGAACAGGGTTGGAGAAGTGGATAGTAGCATTAATGCCTTCACTGATGATAAAGTGGAGGAGGGCCATGCATACTAGCATTGCATCAGAGCCATCAATGAAGAGGGAATGAGTGACCCTCTGGAGACAGAGGAGGCCATGGTGGAGAGCCCATAGGTGAGCACTAATCATGATCAAAATCAGCCCAAATAGGTCCAACTAGAGGTGAAAGGTAAAGAGAAATGCTTTATGGTTTACAGTTCACTGCAGTTCCACTTCATTGCCATGCTAAAAGTTTCATATCCTGGATTTGAGATGTCTATTGACATCTGTTTAAAATCCACTTATCCAGAGCCTCCAGGTACAGCATCACAGCCTCATGTGTCTAATTTAACTAAGAACACCATGACAGTGAGTTGGAGTCCTCCAGCCAGTGATGGAGGAGCTTCAGTTCACGGCTACATCTGTGAACTGAGGAGAAATAAAGGCTGCAAATCCATAAGGAGCTACTCACTGGTCAGGCTTGGAGCAGCGTGCCAAGCCAAGCAATCTCATGCGTCACTGCAAATTTTTTATTGAAATCAGTGGTACCGTTACAAGCCGAAGTGCCCATTTTAGCATTTTATCTAATAACTCCTGACTCCTAACCTAGCTTCCTTACTGATGCTACATTCACATCTATCACATTCAAGCCTTTATTACTGCTTCTAGAAACCAACTTCATGGTGTGCGGATTGGTGGAAGATATGGGGTATGAGTGACTAGTGTAAACAGGGCTGTTGCAGGCACTCCCAGCAACGTTTCTAATCCCATGCCGGCTAAAAATCCAGCACGTACGTCTTCCCCTCACAGTGTGTTGTTTATTTTCTTTCCTGAATCAGCAGGATGGAGCCCATCGGTATGTAGGCTCCCATATTGAAGCTTTGAGTTTTGAATTTGTGTCTTAACCACTTAGTCATTTGCTTTATCACCTATTTTACTCTAAATGGATACCGTGCTGTATTAAAAAAAACTTGAAATTAGCAACTAGTGAGGAACCTGAATGTATCTGATTCCACAAACTCCTCCGTTTCTCTAAAGTGGACTCCTCCATGCCAAGGAGATGAGCCTATCAAGGAGATGCTAAGACGTGGAGGAAAGCCACTAAGATCCCTGTCTCCTGTACTGCCTTCACAGTGGTGGGACTTCAGGAGCAGATGAGGTACCACGTCCGTGTCTGAGCTGTCAATGAAAAAGGGGTGGGGGAGCCCACTGAGCTAGCAAAAGGTGTATTGGCCATAATCGTGTGGTTTTCCAGGCTGGAAAGGCAATTTGCCTTGACTTCAGCTTCACTGTAAGACTTCATCAGTGAAATAAAGTGGCTAATATTTAACAGTTGTCTTTCTCTTCAGGAGGATGTAATAACTGTACCTCGAAACACAAACCACAAACATCCAGTCAGACACATTTATATCCAAGATGGCATTCTCACACAGGAAGACAGGTCATCACAAACACCAAGAATCACTCCCAGTCATTCACGTCTTCCACTCAGCAACTTGACTCTGGCATCTGTTCTCCTGAAGAATAACTATGGAGAGGCTCACTATAAAGTCCATGTCAAGGTTATAGGTAAGTGACGAATGCTTCATTATTTACTCCCCACTTTGTCCTTCTTTAATGATTGTATTCTGTAACAAGAAGTCACTTCAGATCCATTTTTGCTGTTTTGATAGCTTTGTACAAACTTCCAGATCTGTCAAGAGAAATTTACAGTAATTTCTTCCTCTTGTTCTCCTGCTGCTGTACTCAGATGTTCCCCAACCGCCAAACAACCTCCAGTTGGTGGAGGAGATCCTGGACACAGTGGCTCTGCAATGGGATCACACCCGTGACCTGGCTGATGAGGATCAGGCAACACATTATGTACAGCTTCCTGGTTTACTGTGACCGAGTGTGTTTTCATTAGCAAGTACACTGTTACTGGACTGCTTCCAGGAAGGAAGTACTATTTTTAGGGTCACTGCACAGAATTCAGTCGGTGACAGGGATCCCTTAGATTCAAAGCAACCTTTCATCATCGCCAAGGAGAAAGGTAACAGTAGTGTATTTCTCAGTCTCAGTCACGCTCTTTACTCAGATTTATTTATGTCTGCTGTGTGTTTCCAAGAGAGCATCAACAGCCTTCAGGGGAAGGAATATGCATTACCTCAAAGTCATGTTAAACTTACTTTCCTGCTGCCGCTGAAGGACTAAGCCGTTCTCAAAGGACATGACTGCAACATGAGCTGTGCCTAACAGGGGCTGCCAACTCCACTGGTATGAAAGACATGGCTACTGATGTCAGCAACCATAATATATGTGAAGCAAAATTTAAAACATCTGTGCGTACAATCTTTGTACACACAGATGTTTACTTCTGTTGCCCACAAGTAAAAAAATTCTCCCCTTTGTAGGCTTGCTGGTATCAAGGGGAATCCATGATCTCTGATTCCACTCACTTTTGGCACCGCACAGTTAATGGAGTGTGCACTCTAGTCATCCCCACTTGTGGAGCTCAAGACAATGTAGAATACACTCTGGTGCTGGAAAACCCTCTGGGGATGGTCAAGTGTACCTGTAACCTAGTAGTGTATGGTAGGTTCTACAATGAGAGAGGGTGGAGAGTGAAATAATTAATAATTTATAATGATATTACCTTACTAAATATATATCTATATGTTAGGACTTTCAGATAAAGATGACAAGGGTCTGCTGGAGAGCTTCCTGACTAATCAGAAAAACAAAGAGATGCTTATTTTGGAAGGAGTCTTCTATAATTGGCCACTTCACTTGTTCTTACATTGCTGTTGGCATTTTCACTCATTTTGGTTTGACTAAGTTCTGTATATCACTGATTGTAACTGTTAGGCATGTTGTAGTTTTCTGTTTTCATTTTTTTCAATTCTGGTAATACTTTTAGCAAACACTAGAGGTCAGACTCTCACTCTTCCTTCAGGAGTGGCTAAATGTTTGGTATGTTTGGGGGTTGCTCGTCATTAGTCAGCTCATTCAGCCAGAGAGATTGTCTTTTATCTTTAGCTCACAAATGCTTTTCTGTCTTAAAAATAAGAAAGAAAGAAAAGAATAGAAAAAAAATGTTTTTTTCTTCCTCCTTATAGGTGTCCAGTTCTTCCAGAATAGCTTGTTTCACGGGACTCCGCATCAGGCCACCTATTTAAAAAAACCCTCCAGTTTGTTGCTCTAGTTTTTGTGTGACCTTAAGATTCAAACGAAACTAAGTTAACTCACGGTACATGTTGCACCACATCCACAACAGACAATAGTGTGAGAATAGTTTTCTGCCAATTATGCAAAAGGCCACAATTTAAAGCTCACTTATCCCCATAGCTTACTTTGCGGATCTGTATCATGTAATTACAATGACCTGTGCTTGAAGGCAGGCTGGAGCCGTTGTCAGATATCTTTCTTTTCTTGCACACCCAGCATTGCTTGGCGTATTGGACTGTGCTTTAAAAAACAAAAACAAAAATCAAAGTTGCCTCAAGATGCATTTCAAACAAAAACAAGAACTTGTGTACCTCAAAGTGCTACAGGGCCTCAGGTACAACTACATTTTTAGGACAGTCTGCACGGATCCATTTTCACTTCTTCGTTTTTGGTTGTCTTTTGTTTTGAGGTTTGTTTGGCTTTGGGTTTTTTTGCTTAGTTTTTTGTGTCTTTTGGCCAGTGACACCAATCTGCAGCCAATTTGAGGTCAGGTGATCAACTTTGCATGCCAGCTGCTTGGCCACTGCTTGCATGCTAACTTACTGTATTGCCTTACAATGCAATGCCTGTATAAAGGATGTGTATGAATCCAACAGATTCTACTTTCAACCATAACGTCCACTTAGCCACAGTGTTATCCATTCCTTTTAAATCACAAAATACCAGATTACTTTTAATCTGCATATCCGACAGTCTCTTTAAAAGACATTACCTCAGAGCGGACTGCTGCTGCTTGAGACTGAGTGTGGTCTGGTAAGGAGCTGCCAGCCTGACAGAGAGGGGTTACAACCCCTCTCTGTCCTTGCGTCACTATTGCTGGCGCCCACAACTCCATTTGTATAGACCCACCAGAGGACTGGCAGTCAGACTGCCAGGTTCAAATCAATTAAGCACCAAAAGGCACTAAACTGACGTCACAGGTACCTTCCGTTTCTCCCCTATTCAGCTAAGCCACAATAAAGTTGAAATACCGTGGAGTGAAACTTTGAATGGTTAGTCTCGGCATTTCAAAGAAACTAAAGGCTGCTGCGCTCAAACGGAACTTGATTCTTGTGCATTTCTAATAGATTTCTTTGATGTTTTATTGCATCACATTTTCATTAATGTGATTAAGTTTTTTTTTTAAAAAGGACTTTCTTCACTCTTCAGGAGTGACATTATTTCATCAGTTTCATGTATATTTCTTGTCTCACGAGGTCTGGTTTTATAAGGGCCATAAAAGAGATACTTTATTTCTTAGAAGACTGGACTTCTTTGATGGCAAGACTTTGGCTGCAAATGAATGGGACACATTTGAAAAGAACTGGCACGGATTCAGCAAGACAAAATTCTTAAGATGTCTGTGTGCATGTTGAGGAAGAAAATACAGACAAGGTAAGGTAACAGGAAGCTGAAATGGAAGAGAAACAGAGCCTTGTCGGTAGAACTCTGAGTTTTCACAGGGTTAACTGCTGTTGAAAGCACATTTCCCTCGGCCAGACAATACTGCACAGCAGCTACTAGAACAGAGCTCTCTGTTGTCCTCCAGTTCATTCTGTCTGTAATGGCACTTTACTGCTGGGGACCATCAGCTTCAGTAGAAACACAAAAAAAACCAAAGAGTTAAACATCTGCTGACATTTTCAATGCAGTGATCCTAGGAAAAAAAACAAAAACAAAACAAAAAAAACACAACCAACAACAACAACAACAACAACGAAAAAAACCAAAAAAAAAAAAAAAAAAAAAAAAAAAAAAAAAAACACATTTTGCTGAACTTGCATTGTAATTGCATTTATTTCTCCAATAGTTATTCACATTCATAGCAGTTTCACTACAGGGAAGAAACTATTTCATCTCTACAGTCATGAAAGAAAGAAATCACAATAAAGTGAAAAAATCAAGGACAACAAGGTAAAGCACGTCATTGAATTAAAAGAAAAGTGAAACATTCTTTCAATAAACGGAATTCAAATTCTGCGTTGCAAGGGACCTTAAAACAAGAATTAAATAATCTGTGGGAAACAAATTTGGCTTTTCCCACATTGACAGGCAAAACATTTTGGGTTTTCATTTTCTGCAAATGAAAGGATAACACTTTAAAAAAAGATTTATACATCAAGGTAAGTAACACTTAATTAAAATGAATGTCTTTTAAAGAAAACACATGATTCTCACATGCTGATTTGTCACTTTCAAAACACTAACTTTTCGAGAAAAAAATGAAAGGAAAAATGAGCATATACTTTAGAGGATACAGTACACAATAATCCTTTGTTAATAACACTTTCACTGCTAGGTTTAAGGAGAGATCAACTGGCCTTACTTTGGGTACAGAAAAGTGCAGAATATGGGGAGGGGGAGGGGGGTAATTTTACAAAGATGTTTATTTCCACATATTGTAGTAAAAAACAAAACAAAAAAACATTGGTGTTGATGTGGAGGAGTCACATCAGCTCACTAGTCATGCATGATAAATATACAAACTTTACAGCTATCCGTTTTGAATGAAACCCACTTCGTAATCATGAGCACAGTGCATTAGCAGCAAAGTCTTCAAATCAACAATCACAAGAAACAACAGCAAAAAGAATTCAGCAAGAAAACTTCTAATCAAAGAAAAGTGCTAACCTATTCAGAGGACCAAGTGAAACCACAGGACTCACTGTGGAGACCTCTGACAGCTCTCTCGGGTCCCTTTTATATGTGCACACAAAGCTTTGAACAACGGGCCGTTGACAGACTAAGGTAAACTGATGCGCCTGCTGGCCTGCCATCTGTGGGGGAACAGGGTGGTAGCTAACAGCTTCCCCTCTGTGTCATATTTCACCTTGTAATCTAATTCAAGCTACAATATCACCCAATAATAACCTTCGTCCTCAATGAAAAAGCTAAAAGCAATCCTGCACCAGTGGTGGTGGTGGTGGTGGTGGTGGTGGTGGTGGGGGGGGGGGAGATTTCTGTCACCTGTGAAACAACAACAGCTGGTTTGACACATGAGAAACCTCTAATGTTGACAAGTTCCACTCAGTCAAATGAGTTCAGTTTTGAATTATAATTTAAGCTTGGTTTCTGGAGCCCAAATCAAATAAAAGCAGATACTTTAGAGAAGAAACAGTTTGGCCAAGAAGAAATATTTCAAAAATAAATGCTCTGTACTGTAGGAACAACAGTCAGGAGGCTTTGTGTAGCAAAGGACAAAGAAGGAGGTGCCCACAGAAATTGCCCACATAGTAAGTATGAGTAAGACTGCTTGACTAAGTCCCTGCATGGTTTACTTGAGGCCATGTACTAGAGTCTGTGTTGGCTAGCATCTCTACTTGCACTCCACTTTCTTTTAAGACTGCTATCAAGCTTCGGTGGACGGCTTTTAGCACAAAGGCGGCCGATATTAATTGTTGACAGAACGTGCTCCATCGGTGATGAAAACAGGGAGAGAACTGCAGAGTCAGAGTCTGCAGTGCTGGGAGGACAAATTAAAACACGCAACAGAAGAAAAGTGGTCACACGACCAGACTGATGGAACATTTCTGACTGAAAGCAGAAACATTGTGCTGACAAGCATAGTGACAGGCTGAAAGAATAGCCACTTGTGCCAAGTGTCTTTCTTGGTCAAAGCAAAACTGCGATACTGATATTGATAAAAACCTTGATGACAGTCAACACCATTGTCTGCCTGCAGATCTGTCATGGTGGCTAAGGTGATGCCTAAACACCTTTTGAAGTGTTTGAATGTGTGTGGGGTTTTTTGTGGTATGTTTTGTTTTTGTGCGCATGTAGCTGCTGACAGCTGTTGGGGTCAATGACCCAGCAGAAGAAACCCATAACATGGGCTTGTATTTTCCACGGTTGCTTCATAAACAATATATACACAGCATCACATCTGAGAGTTTCATTATTAAACTAGCCTAAAGTTCTTAACTGACAGTAGATCTGCAGTCTGTTACAAAGCTGCAGTTCTGAAGAGGCGATGGGCATGAAGATGGTTTTAAGAGCATTGTGATAATACAATAAAAATACCCAGTAGTGTGTGTACTTCATAGAAACTCTGTTGGTTCACAGCATTTCGGGCCTCGAGTTGGTTCTGATTTGCCACAAGAACACACAGATGTTTAAGCAACAGCTAAGAAAAAAAAAAAAAAAAAAAAAAAAAAAAAAAAGCAGTGTACGCACTCTCACACATATGCAGACGCTCAAAAACACGTGCAAGTGTAGACATCTGAAGAAAAAGTTGCAGTGTAATTCTTAAATATTCAGTAAGACACTGAGTTTTAAAATAAAATAAAAATTGCAGGGGACAAAACAAACAAGAGGTGAGAAGCAGAAATATGTAAGAGATGAAAGACAAAATAGGAGCCAGCCTGTTAGGGATTAGCTGTGGCGGATTTTGCAGGATTAAAGCTGATGAAGTGTCCTGTGAGAGGGAATTATTGGGAATAATGGGATAACTGTTTCCTCACATGACATGCCAGTTCCCTTGTCTTCCCTATTTTTTTTCCCCATTTTGGTTTTTCAGTTTGTTTTGGCTGCCTTAAGGACAAAGCGCACACTTTTGTGCATGTATGCGTGCATTTCATTATAAGCGAGTGAGCCCTTTCCCAGGGCCCTGACAGACACACACAGAGTTGATAAACAAAAAGATTCCATCCTGTAACATAGCCCTTCTTTTCAGTCTTCATAACATTGCTATTAGGCCAAATAAGCGCATGTCAGCTGATCCATTCTAGCAATAAGATCCCCATGAACTTTTTCCAATAACTAACACAGCAGGAGCTGTGGGTGTCAGGTGTGTGTACGTGGTAACATCTGCACCTGCGTTTCTTAAAAAGCTGCTGGTGGGGAAAACAAATTCCTGGTGGACTTAACACCAAAAGGAGAAGCAGGTGCACACTACACAGCAAGTAATAATGTGTGCAGTAGTCTGCTGTGACTATGGTATTTAGTGTGTTCTCTTTGTGACAGCAGGACACTGACAGCAGTGTGAATCTCAGGAGAAAGCTAAACTTCTTCCCCATCCAACATAAATGTTCAGTCATGAAACTTACAGTACACACTGGTTTGTTGACACCCAAATTTCCCTCCCTGAATTTCAGCCTTATTGGTTTACTTTTTATCATTTTTTAAGCTGTGCATCTAGTTATTCGAGGACATCATGGAAGAAAAAATACTTTAAAAAATACGTTGATGATGACTTATGAAAGTGTAGAGGGGCAGGATTGTTATAAATAATATCAAGGGGATGGCAGATAACGAAAACAGGTTTGGACAAGCTTTTAGAATAGCACCCTTAATTAAGGGGAACACAGAGCAACAGAGAATGGAAAAAATATGTATATGTCGGTATTAAAAAAACCCTCCCTTTTTAAACAACAACAAATAACAAACTAAATGTTAAATAGTAATGCTGGACAACATAAAGCATACGTCTGTGCTGGGAGTGTGAGGTGTGTGAAAGGACTGTGTGCCAAGCGAGGTAAAAATCAAATACATCAACGCACACAGACCCCATTGCTCTCCCATACACACTCCTTGAAGGTGCCCAGTGACATGCTTCCATTAGCCAGTTAAAAGTATGTAATACTCTCTACATAGCAGGTTAATATTACTGCACTTATCACCTTTGTAACTAGGTTGAAAGCCATTCTATCTTTAGAGGAGGCAGGTAGGACTGTTGTTGGGTGAGGCAGAAGATAATACTACTGTATCTTCTTGGTTAGAGGACACATGTGAGATTACAACGCTAATGGGGCAGAAGGGTGATGTAAAGGCTGTAGTGGCCCAGCGGTGTTTGAGCACCACACTGAGATGAAGGCTGGGGGCTGGGAACCTGGCAGTGAGATGTGTCCATAATCACATGGTTTGGAGACTGCTGCAACTCATGTTCTCTTCCTGGCCACCTCCACGTCCTGGCACTCAACAGCTGACAGTGCTATGAGCATCTGGGCAGCGTAGTAGGTGGCCATGATGATGGCTCGCGAATGGGGCACAGGGAAGCAGAACTTGTTGACTGCAATGGTGAGGTCGGAGACCATGAAGAGCACGGCACCCAGGCAGGCAGACAACTTGGTCCAGGTCCACAGGTCATTCGCCAGCTGCAAACCTGCGATGGCCCTCCAGCCCATGAAACCAATTAGGGCGATGTAGACGGCCACCAAATAGGTGAAGGGGCCAGAGAGGTAGGGGTACAGCAGGATATAGCACAGAAAGGATACAGCAGTGATCACCAGCCCAGCACGCACGTTAATGGGCTTCATCCCAAAAGCAGAAGAGTAGAGTATATGGGTAATGGCAAACATCAGAAGGCCTGTAGAATATTAAATAATACATGAAATCATAATAATTAGGTTTTAATACAAGTTGCTTCCATTGAGTTTTATTTAGTCTTTCTAATGGTTCTGATTAATGTTTTCAACGGGCTCAAAAGGCCAAGAAGCCAGGGGGAGTCAGGTGATAAAACAATTCCTGAACCAGGGGTTATGTCTGTTAATATTTGATGGCTGTTTTTAAATGGACACACCTAGACATTTATTGTTATATGGTTGAATTACATCTGATGAGATAATTGTTAAAATGCAGAGCTTTTCCTCACCATGGACAAAGTAGCCCTGCTCCTGCCAGATGAGAAAGGCATCACCCAGAGCAGAAAAGATTAGACCAGCCAAGATCTTGCGGGCACTGGAGTGAGCACAGAGAAAGGTGAAGCCATGAGCCAGCAAAAACACCCACAGGCAGAAGATGGGCAGGCATTTGATCAAGGCGCTGAACCAAGATGGGCTTGAGGTGGGCAGCCACAGGACAAAGTATACACAGGTTGCTTTGAAGAATGGCACCAATTTAGGGCCTTCACTCTTGACCTGAAAGTAAAATGAATAGTTACATTAATAACTGAAATATAGTTGCAAATACATGTGATGCTCTTATAATCATCGACTTAACCTCTTAAGCCCCAAGCCTACCTGATGTCCTGCCTTTTGCCCCCGTATCTGGGGGCGTTGGGGCTTACGAGGTTAAAATAGATGCATTTTCTGTTTGAGCTGCATAGTGTTATATTTGTGAATAAAGGAGGGAAAAAAACAAGTAGTGAGATTTAAAACTGCTGACTTTGTGTGGCCATTAGTTTCTTGCCGTCAGCCATACGTACACGTGTCACTGAAACCAAACTTTGTGGGAAAAGGCTGTCGAAGGAAATGAGAACGCTCCCAAACTGTGACTCCTAGTAACCTTTAAATTTCTCCTTTTTGCAACTAATTTTATTATTTTGTTTTTCTTTCTCGTCTGGTTTACCTTCTTCCTCGTATATGAAGTTACTGAGAACTGTGAAGTGTAATCATCACTCAAGTTCCTCTTTCCAACTGTGTTACCAGTCATATTTATTTTTGTCCAAATAGATGAGGCACACAACACGCATACAAATCCAGAGTATGAAAAAGTTTCACAAAACCCCTGGAATGATGAGCCACCGGTGATTCTGAGAATCACTTTTGAGGCAGGCCTGTGGGATCAAAAGGCAAAAGAAAAAAGAAAGTGGGTGAGGTGGAAGGGAAAGGCACTGAGTGTGGGTTCACTAGAGGTGAGATCGCTGGACGAGAGAAGAGTATATGAATAAGGCGGGAAGAAGAGGAGGAACAATGGGTCATAGTGCAGCAAGGAAAAGTTTCAAAAGACTGGGCAAGAACTGCTGGTTTGATGTCCCAAAGGGCTATTTTACAGCGTGTTTTTTTGCATCCTACCCTGATATATTCAGTGGTAAGCAAAATGATGTAAAAAAAACCAAAAAACCCCCCAAAAAAAGCCCTGGCATGGTTGCAAAGTTCAAAAGAGAAAAAAAAGGAAAGAAAGGGCAACTAGGACAAAGAGAAAGGAAAATAAGAAGAAGCACAAATAAAGAAGCCTTAGGGGGAAAAAAAACAAAAACAAAAAACAGTGAATGAGCTGGTGTACCACCATTCAGATGACAGCTGGATGTAGTAGCAGAGGAGGAGTAGGATAGAGACTGAAGGATCTTACAGTTTATTTCTGTGAAGGAAGGTAGAAAGGAACAGACCAGAAATGCACAATTCTTCAAAAAAGTAACAGATCAAATGACAGTACAGGATCAACTGAAGTGTTCAGTTTATTTTAATTCAATTTTAGTTGTATACTGCCAATTTGCAACAACAGTAGAATGAATGAGACTTATATAGCAAGGTAAACCCCTACAATATTAACTGGAAAACCCTAATGATCAGACGATTCTCTGTGCTGAAGCACGCGGAAACATGGAGAAGGAAGAAGGGGGTGAGGTTTAAGTGACCGAGTTTAGGTGACACCAAACCTACTCTAGAGTACCTGATAGACTACCAGCAGGAAAACAACAGGGATCTGATGCACAAGTTCATACAGTCATGACCATATTGAGCTAAAAGTAGGACAGCAAAATAACTATTGCCTGGGTTCTCCAGTATTAAAAGCAGGATGCTGAGAAGATCATTTGCATGTTCCCTGAAAGCATGCCAGACTAGGAAGGCACTTTGACCATTTTTCTAAATGTAATCAACAGTCTGCTTCAGGGAGGATGCAACAAACACATTACTTCCAAGGGCTTGTGTGGTGCAAGGACATCCATTGAGAACGAGACAATAGAGGAAAAAGGCAGTAATGTATCTGTCTAAATTTCCTGAATTATATGGTCTCCAGGAAAGCCCTTGCTTGGAAACAGGTTTCCATCAGGTAGATATGCCAGGAGTGTGTTTTAGCACTCAGTTAGCTATATGTTTATCCACTGCTTACATGTGTTATATGATCCTCCCAGGAGCTCTGCAGACCTACTAAAGCTTCATACACAACATTATTTGATATTGTTCCATAGTCACAATATAAGTTTTAGCTAATTATATATATATCCTTAAGATGTGATTGCAGAGTGTATGAAGATACCTAGCACACGCACACAGAGCTTCTGGATACCTAGTGGTCTGCGTGCCAAGATTGGACATTTACTTTTAAACTCACCTCTTAAGCCGCTTCAGCATATGGATTACAATACTAAAATTACCCCTGATTATTACTTCAAATTCTTGCGTTATAAAGTACTTTTAGTTAGATGTATCCTGTAAAAATAAAAGTTGTTTCAGTCATTTTTCTTTGAATATTTAGGTTTCCTACCAAAATGGCAAAAAGAGACGTAACAATACTTGCTCTGCCACTTTTTCACTCTGACAAGATTAAGATAAATTTCAGCAGTTTTGTTTTCTGCTTTCACAATACATTTAAGATTAATATCAGTCTCCTCTAGGTACAAGTGTAATGCTGTTTTCCACTGCCATCAAACCAGGGCTAGGTATATAATGGGAACTAATGCACTCCTTTCCATTATCCACTTTGCTGTACTTGTACAGTGAACCTATCTATCACATTAAGGCCACATAGGTGGCGAGGCAAGGAGACGGCCCTGGCAACACTCCCAGACTAACCGATATGAAAATTCTACTTAAAAAGCCAGGGTTGTCTTACTTTAGGACAGAGCACAAGAAAACACCACATGCCATATCTGTTACACTCCTGGGACTCAAGGATGACTTTAGGTATTCTCATTACACATATAGCAGTTAGTTCTTATTAAATAAGGTCCAGTGAAAACAGTTTACTATGCTCAATAAGGCAGTGTCAGTTTGATTTCTATCTACAGACAAGACTAATGATTGGTTTGGCACTTAAGAAAGGAAAGGAAGTTGGGAGGAAGTCAGTGACTCCTATAACCTTTAGTCTGTTCTATGCTGGGTTTGAGATACTTTTCAGTTTCGTTTTTTATTCTTTGCCATCCAATCATGGCATGTACACGCTAAACAAAATCCTTTAAGAAGGAGAAAGGCATAACTAAAATAGGATTTGAAACATTTATAACATAATCCTTTAAGTCTTCTAATACAATTAGGCTTCAATTTTGTTACAGTGTTCTATAAAAGAAGTTTCATTTTGCAGACTTAGATATGAATCCAGATTATGATAGTATCAGGAGTTCAAGTATTAATTTCTGTCATATCCTAAACAATTGCTGCTGTAATATTTCCCCACCCCCATTAAAATGTGATTGCACAAATTTTTCCATCAGGAAAGCATAATTGCTTGTGGGAATCCATAAACTGCTTTATACCAGTTTTAATGGGTTTCTTGCTCAGATGATCAGCATTGTTCTCCTGTTCAGTTTCTTGTACTTGACTGAAATTGGTGGAGTTATGTAGCACACTATCATCTCAACTGTAAACCAGTCCACTCTTATTCGTGGAGGCGTCAGTTTGTCTGTGGGAGCACTGAAGACAGGGACATTAGCGATGGCTGTTAGTCCTGTAATAGCCGGCTGTCGCCAGAAAAAAAAAAAAGGAGAACATAATACCTCACTTAAGAAGCAAAGAAAATGAATCATTTCGTCATCATTTATCTGTCTAAATGATCACATTATAAATAAAGGATGTTTGCAAAAGTGCAGGACCATATAAAGCTGAACAGCTACACACACCTGCTCCTGTCCTCTGTTAAACAATAATACTGTTAATGATTGACTATATTTGCATGATTAGTCAATACACATCGACTGACCTTTAAAAGGCACCTCGTATCCTAAACCAAAGAAAAGACAATTTGTTCTTTCTTTTTTGTGTCCTTTTGAAGTACAGAAATATGGCGCCTCTAAAGTCTGCACAGCTGGCATGTGAGTCTTATGACAATGTTATTTCTACGAAGCATCACACAACTCTGTTTTTTCCATCTTTGAGCTGCTTTAGCTCAACAAAGATGACTTGAAGACATTTGGGGATGCAGACTAGAAAGGAATACAACCTTACTGCTGCACTGTATGACGTCTTGAGTTCCTGACGTAAGAGTAAAAACTTCAGTTTCTGATAAAAAAAAAAACAACAAAACAAAATCCCCCCCACTGTGGGCACTGGATGTGCTGATGCCTCTACAGATGATCAATATAGCCAAAAACAAGCAAATCAAGTTAAGGCAAGCAACGTGAGTCAAAGTCTTTGGGCAGTACAGATTGGTTTCAGACTGCATGTGCTCTGCCTGTTTGAATGGTTCCTTGACATATCTAGATTTAAAAATGTTCATAGAGTCCCTTATAAGGACAACATTCTGCTCACTGTTGTAAAACTGAGTGTAGTACTGTTTAAAAAAAACATACCAAAGAATCAAGCAGGAACTGTTGAACTGCATCTAAGTAAAACTGAATAATAGCAGCCTCCAGTGGGACAATAATCATGTTTACTTCTGAACAGGTACTGGCAATCATCAGACACTAACACACCAATATATTATAATTTTTCAGCATCAGAAAAACAACCCTGAATAAAAGCATACATCTTTTTCTCAGCAATGTTGGGACCCTAATAGAAATAAAGGAAAACCAGGACCTGCACAGTATCTTCATCACTAAGGAAACTAGTCTGTATGGCAGGCATTCCTCCACACAGGCTTACACACCCGGGTTTTCTACAGGCCAACTTACAATGAACCGTCCTTCATGGCCCCAGCAAAGGGGGTAAAATTTCATAGCAGCTCTGCTAGAGCAAGATGATGCTCCACCTGCTTAAATTATTCATGTAGTTATCAGCTTTTTTGTCAAAATGGACGATTTCCAGGTGAGGTCCATTATTGAGCCAATAGATACGCCAAACAATAAACTCTATATAAAGCACAGCTACAACAAGGGAGATGAAAAGAAAGCCAGAATCGACCACAGCTCGGCGCATGCGTTACTGGAGGGTAAGGAACGGGAAAAAAAAAAAACACAAAAAAGGTCGTGGCATGACAGCTTTTTCTTTTTTGTCAGGGATAGCCTTTCGAAATTTGTGTATGTTCAATACCGAGAAGGAACAAGCGAGCAGCGTCGCTGCTGTGCCAAAAAAGGGAAACGGCTAGACGGAAACAAGAAAGTTTCTGCCTTGTGTCTGCACAAACACATACAGAGGGACACTATTTAATGACGAGAAAATGAGATAGCTGCGTGAGTTACCGCGAGCACCTGACCGAACGGTTTTTCATTTAGCAGACGCGCTTATTTACTGGCAATTAAATAATGAACCAGAGAGCATGCGCTGGCCTTCCGAGATAAAGTATGACAAGATATGAATAACAACGAAAATGCCCCAGTAAATGCTTGAATAGCAGCTCGAGGCAGTCGACAATGCACACATTAAGGATGTTATCTTCGGAAGTCTCGTTATTGTATCACTAGCTTAACTAGCCGCTGTTTATTCCTGAATGTTTTAAATGGCCATTTGAAACTGGTACTTACCACTGTTACTGGAGAAACCATTTCTCCCTCGGTGCTGCCCGTGCCGCTTAAAAAGGATACACTGATTCGTTTGAATCTTCTTGTTTATGTTTTACTGAGGAAGGCGAGATGCCGATTGTTTTTGTCCTCGATCCTGTGGGCGGTCCGACATCAGAGAGGCAGTGACAGGCCTTTCAGTGTTGACCAATAGGTGCAGAGACTGGTCTTAGAGGGCGGAATTAGGCGTCAGGCGACGCCCTGATAGGAGGAGTCGGGGTTCCTTTTACATACCGGAGCAGATGGCCTTTATTTACATTCTACGGAAATGGAGCTTGATTTGTCGAGCTTGGTTTTTGATTGCACATTGACAGTTCAGCGTTAATTGATCATATTGAGCGTTAGAGATGAGAAAACATTACTGCTGTATGGATGATGAATTGAAAGCTATTAAGCTATTAATAACCACTTTTCTGCCGGAGCATTTTCAACTCTGACACCTTACGCTCCTCTTTTTTTTTGTTTTAATTCAATTAAATTCAGTTTTATTTAGTGCCAAATCACAGAAACCGCTGCTTCAATTTGCTTTAAGGTCATTGTCTCCAAACCATACGCCATGACAGGTTTGGCTTTCTTATCAACCTTCACTGTTGCTGCTGTCCTACTGTCACAAACCACTCTTGTCACTCCTCCCCACCTGCTCCAACCTGTGTGCGCTCCCTTCTTCAACTTTCTTGTGCACTGTCAATTGCTTTTTATGGCTGACCCCAGGTATTTAAACTAGTCCACCTTCACTACTTCTACCCTCTTGCATTTACTGTAACACCTCTCTTTCTCTAATTCACACATGTATTCTGTTCCAACTTTCATTCTCTTTTCCCTGGAACATACCTCCACCTCTCCAGGATCTTGTCCACCTGCTCTCACTACAGATCACAATCTCACCCACACTTTGAAGTCATCTATCACCCCTACCACCTCACTACAGTCTGGCTTCATACATGTTCTCCACCACCTTCACAGGCATCTCTGCGACTACTTATGTGATACCAGTTTCTCATTTTCTCTAGCTCCACAAAGCTACAGTGCAGCTTCTGATCTTCTCTACACTTCTCTATCAACACCCTCAAAGCAAACATATTTTATTTATCTATCATTTTTTCTCCGCTTGAAGACATACTGCTACTCACCGATTGTCAACTCCCTTCTTAACCAAGCTTCCACAACTGTTTCCTAGCTAGCTAGCTGTCGTGGCTCATCAGCTTTATGCCTCTGTAGCAGGGGCGATTTTAGCCCATTTTGGGGGTGCTTCAGCACCCCCAAAATGAATCAAAGCACCCCCAAAGATTTCTTACTTTTTTAAAAGATATTTGCTGTTTGTGGGACACACTACTAAAAATATAAAAGCATACAGTACTTAATTGAGATGGAACATTTTAACAACAAAAGTATAGATAACCCCTCCCCCTCCCAAAATGGTTTGTTCCAGCTCGGCTCTCCCCTGCTCTGGCTCTAGCGCCGTTGCTGTGCCAGAGCGATAGTGGCTGCAGCGGAGGGGAGGTGGAAGTTCCTTGCAGGACATATTAGCTGCATTTAACTTTCGGTTACTCTTTATATAGTTAGGTAGGGGTCAGGCCATGTTTCTTTTTAGCTGAAAAACATTACACCCAGGTAACCTGCAGTGTTGAAAACTTGTTTTCCAATGATGTTTGCTACCCTACAAACCGTCCTCCTCTGTAGTAACATCAGCGATATTTGACTGTCCTGTTGATCTCATTGAAATGTATATAGCCTATTTAAAATCTAAAACTTAACATTGTCCGTAGCCTGCCGTTGTTACCACTGTTGCTACAACTGTTTGAAATGTAATGAGAGAAACTGTTTTTTTTGTCATATGTGTATGTACCGATATTGAACCCTAACTGAAAACCTAACTGACTAGTTAGTACCTTGGGTAATGTTGGATCAGTGTTTCAATATTTATATCCTTTATTAGATGTACATGTGGTTTGGTTATTTGCCTTTTGGTTGAAAGTACACTGAGAGAGGACTTTTTTATTAGTGATCTTAATAGTATTTTTTTTTATCTAATTGAATACAATCTATTTGTGTATGATTGTCAGTCCAAAGAGGGAGAGAGGAAAGAGGGGAGCATGAGGAGAAAGTACAAGGTCAGGAAGAACCAGGTAAGAAAACAGACAGGGAGTACTAACAGGCAAAACAAAAACTGTTAAACTGGCAAAGAAAAAACCCCCCAATTAATTTTACTCATACAATCTGGAAGTTGTGTTCTCTCTAGATTAAAGCTGCTATACAGAATCTGCAAAACAAACTGGGTTGTCAGCCCTGGCACTGCATTACCATATTGAGCTTCAGTCAGAGGAAGTCACAGTTGCCAAAGACTTTTTGAAGCTCAAGAGTGAGGCTGGTGCCATTCCAGATATGTTAACATTGTACAATCTTCTGGATAATCAGATCTTCCCCACACTGAAAACTGTTATTCAGGTTGCCCTAACAAACCCAGTTAGCAGCTGTGGTTGTGAGAGGTCTTTTAGTGTCTTGAGTCAGCTCCATACCTGGCTGAGAAGGACCATGGGTCAAAGCTGACTCCAGCACCTGGCTGTGATGTCAGTTGAGAAAGAGATGCTTGAGAGACTTGACCACCAAAATGTGATAGACAGATTTGCCAACCTCAAGCTGAGGCGACATAGGTTAAAAGAAAAGAAAAAATCTGCAGAGCCATAGTAGTATCTGCAGTAAAGATCTTTTCATACATTGTACCATAGGCCAAGGTGTCTCCATTTTCAAATTTTTTAATAATATTTTGTACATTTCAAGGACTGTGTATTTTTGGAGTGTATTTTTTATGTATCTGTATTATATTATACATACACTTTAAAAGTGAATCTCTGTCCAAAAAATGCACTCAGTTTACTTTTTACTCACTATGAGCATCATTTTCATCATCAGTTTTTTTTAAAATTCCAATCCATTCTTCTTTAGCAGCATATTAATAACCTTTATCAGATTTGATGGTTTTGTTACAGACTTGTCAAAAAAGTGTTTTGCTTTTCTTTCAAAAATGTGGGGATTAAATTGTGTTAAAATGTACAAAACAGTGATGTCATGTTTTGTGACGAGGACCCAGGCACAGAGAGACTTTATGAATTTAAGAATCTTATGATTTAATAAAGAAATTTGCAGACTTGCACAGAGAGGGTAAAATTATGATGACTGATAATGGAAATGAAGACAACAGACGATGAGGACAGGGAGGAACAGGGGTTTAAATGCACCAAGGAGACAGTCAGAGGGAATTTGGGACAACTGGAGACATTTAGGGATGCAGGGACTAAAAGAGACAAGGAAGAAGTCTCATCGTGATGAGTAAAGTTTACCTTGCCTGGGTGGGCAGCTCTCTGGGTGCTCAGCACCCCCAAAGCTCTGATCCTTGAATCGCCCCTGCTCTGTAGTAACGACACCTCTGTACGTACGTCACACTCTTGTTTTTGAAAAACAGTACCAATACACTTCTTCTCCATAGGCATCCACTCACTCTCCAAGATTGTTGTATTATCTTTTGTAAGCCTGTCCTCTTTTATTACATGATTTTTATTGTAAATATTTCTAACACTGGAAACAAGTTGTAGCATTCTCTGTGTTCTTTTTTGACCCAGACATAAACGTTATTTATTTATTTGACGAGGAAAGAAAAGACACGTGGAAACAGCTCTGTTGATACCTCGCATCAAATTTCTAGTGTTCTAGATTTCCACAGTAGTGGCGACACCATGTGGTCTGCAGCTGTCAAAACGTGTTCTGGACGGACATTGCGTAAGGAAACTATGGGGCCGAAAACGGAAGTGCTCCTCATACATGTATCCGGCAAGTGTATGGAGGAACTTCTGGAAGTCCCGTTATACGAACAGACAGTCGGTTCCTTTATCCACGATCAAGATGGATCACCGCTTCTCAAACAACGAGTTTCTATAAGACTGCATCTTATAGTGTATATAAGATGCAGTCTATGGGTTAGGAGGACCATGTGACATTTTCAGAGTCATCGTCCTGTCTTCAGCGGACACGCGTCAACAAAAATAAATATTTGTATTTGGAAGTTAATTTGTTGGGTTATTATTTTGTTCGTGAAAATGAATCAAAAACTCGCTCACATATAAAATATTACACGAATACACTTCGGACTAAAACGTTTTCTGACTCGTACTCCCACAAAGCCGGATATACGCACAAGTGAGTCATCTTACTTCCGTTAGTAGCTCTTCGGACCTTTAATTTTCGTTCTACCCAGCTGCTAGTCTCTACTAACACCCGGCGTCGGTTGTGCTCGATTTATTTATTTTTTTGTTATTTGGAGGTTTTTGTCCATCTGTAGGTGCTGAATACGCAAATTTTGATGGGGTTTCCCTTAGTTTGGTGCGTTATCAGCGCAGAGCGGAAGTTCGCCTTTCGAGCTTTTTGGTTAGCTGACGTTAACGTTGCCAAACGTTAGATTAGCTAACTTTGCTAACGCGTGCTATTGTGAAGAAAGTAGGATTAACTACTCTGTTTGCAAATGTCCTACAGTAGACTGTTACTGATACAGTCGTTTGTTACAGCTGTCTGGCTAAGTAAAGTTTGGAAACGCCTGAAAGCTAAACAGTCATTCAGCACTCCTACTTGAGTCTTCAAACAGCCAGCCTACATCGCCGACCGAAATGATGGATTTTGATAACATATTGAACATCGCCTCACAAAACCAGGGCCTCAGCAGTGTACAGGTGAGTAGAAGGCTCTCACTGGCAGACGTTTTACTCAGGCCACTGAGAAAACTTAACATCTGTGGGTATGTGTGTGAAAAAACAGATCAGGGAGGGTCTGTTAATGTAGCCAACTTTCATTGTCGTCATACTGTATAGACGTGTACAAACATGCTACATTTTATTGTGACATTAGATTACCATTTTTGCTATATCATTATGGGGAGGACTGTAAATGTTAAACAAGAGTGTACACTTTCCCCATAAACTACAACTTGTATTGTATGTGTTCTTCTCTTTGAGCAGAAGAGATACAGTTTACAAGCTGGACCCCCGAAAAAGGACCCAAAGTCAAAGGGTGTAAATCCTGCTGCTGTGCAGGCACTTCTGAAGAAGCAAGTCACTGAAAACAAAA